CGTTAGATCTACGTTAGTTAGATCTATGTTAGATCTACGTTAGATCTACGTTAGATCTATGTTAGATCTATGTTAGATCTACGTTAGATCTACGTTAGACTGTAAACTGCTCGTCCCTCGCCATAGTAATGGTGTAAATTGGTGCATTATTAATGAAGTACCCAACCTGATATATTTATTTTGTCCTCGACTGTCTTATTTTTGGCTGCTGTTCGGTTCCAGTGCCTCTTAGGAGAAAATCAGCTGTGAATAAAAATTGAGACTCAGATAGTTTTAAATCTAAAAACATGGCAGTACGTGGCAGTTTTTCATCCCTCAGTGCAGAATCATGCAGTAGGCCACCCTGGTTTGAATCTGGGGCACTGGCTGTGCACATCATAACTCATGATTACCTGAACATCACCCCCCCACCACCACCACCTCGCCATCCCCAGTGGCAGTCACCCCTTTGCTTATGAGCAACTGGAGCGCACACTGGTGACCAGACAGATGTTCTCCTGATGTAGTCTCTGACGTCATGCACGGGTGTGGTCCTGCAGCAAAGCTCAGCGCTGCCACATTCCCCGGTGGCCTGGGACCCTGGGGACTAAACTTAAAGAGAAAGATGGCATCAAATTTTTCTAATAATTCCTCATGTATGTTGCATTTCTATATGTTTCTGACTTTGTACAGCTGTGCCCTCAGAGAAAGAGGCTCTAACATAATGATCTGTGCAGTAAAACAGATTTCCCCTTCTTTCTTTAGTAGCCATGACTAAAGGCTCAGCTATGTGTATTATCAGGGCCCTGCAGACTGAATGCATGCTTCAAATAAATTACAGTCATTCCCACCATTATGAAATCATTTTTGTGATTTACAGTAATTACAGATATTTGTGCAAGTGGGCCCTCTAGTGGGGGTCTGAGGGTCTGCTGCAGCCAGCGCACACAGTGCACACAGTGCACAGGAACGGAGCGCCCTACCTGGAAAACACATTTCTTAAAGGATAAAGCAGCTTCTGAATACATGCTGGTGATGTGATAATGTTAACTGTTGCCATTCTGAGGAATGTCTAAGTCTAAATGTAAACAAAGCTTCATCATCAGGCTGCCTGTCAGTGGCTATATCTGAGTGAATGGACATATATAACCCTGATGAAGATGAACAAACCCCTCCTCACAAACACAGGTCAGAGAGTGCATCAGTGAAAGGACAAGTGTCATGTGCCTCGTAGCAGTAACACACACTGGTATTGGATCACCTGCACCAGCTTCCCCACTAAAATGTGTTACTTCACTCTGACGTTTGACCTTCACTGTGGGCTACAGGATGATGTTTGTGCACAGTCTGACACTGAAAGGCTGAGGTTTGCCTGAGGTCACCTACAGTCTGTTTATTCTGTGTCCACCTACAGTGACAACAGTTTTCTTCAGAAAAGGAATCTGTTGAAATCAAGTTGTGCTCATTCAATCTGTATTTTACAAACAGTTTTAACAGTGTAGTGTATATGTTTTACTTTGGAAAAGGCACTTTAGATGTTTAGATCGGTCAGTAATATAAACCAAAATGGGTGTTTCATGTTTTCACATTTTGCTGCTGATGCTTTGTTGTAAATTGTAACACAGGACTGTTGCTTGTTGCCTGTCTGACTGTTTCTAGGCTGTTCTATTGGCACTAAACGTGTCTTCACCCAACACAGCGTTTTATCAGCACCTGTAGGGGAACGGTGTGTGGTCGGGCTCTCATCTGATTGGTCCGCCTCCGCACGATGTGGGCGGGGCTTTGGTTTGGGTTTGACTTGTGTTTGAGTAAGTGGAGCCAGATTCACGGAGTTGGGAAAGTAAGGAGCGATAAAACACACGAGAGGCAACTTTTAGCTGCAGTGACCTTGGCATCGGCACTAAACAGGCTCTGGGAATATTTTGATCGGTGTCAGTGACTTTGTTTCCACTGGGTCACAAGGTCGAGTCCTTTCATGGGCTCGTCACCCTGGACAGGTGCGTCGACAGGGTCGTTGATGGCCACGTTTTGTTTTGATGCGGTTGTCTGGCTCAGAAAGTGCTGATATTATTTGACAAAATGGAGCAGAAGCATTTTGTGGCGTCGTCAGGCTTACACACCTTTTCCGAGGGTGAAGAGGTGAGAGGGTCCGGAGGTGAGACCCACAACTCAGAAAGGGTCACCGAAGTGGAGGAGGACAGGAGTCCAGAGGATGACAAGGAGACACCGGGGAATGAAGACTGTGAAGAAGAAGAAGAAGAAGAAGAAGAAACTCGGAGCAACAAAACCATTTGGGACACGTTTAAAGCCAGTGAAGCTGCAGATGTGGCAGGTCTGGGTACAGCACAGACACACAAACACAATACACAGTTACACAAACACGTGTAAACCCGTTCAGTTTGATCCTGCAGGAGCTTAGTGTTGGAGCTCATGTCTGGTCGGTTGCACGTCAGTGACGTGATCCAGTCCGTCCACAGGTCCACAGGTCCACCTCGGTGCAGTGTGTGACCTGCTGCACTGCTTCATGTGCACGGCATGTGGCCTACATGGTGACTGAATGTATCTTCATTACATCGGAGACAAAAAAACTAAGCTTCTGATTTTCTCCAAAATAAAAAAAACACAAGACTCAGATTAGTGTAATTCTAAAAGACTGAGCCAAACCATCTGGAGGAACATGTCTTGCACAAATAACATTAGATAAAATAAGATTTTTGACTTGTTCTCCAAACAAACGTGACAGAAACGAAAGCCTCTTGCTCGTCTTGTGCAGAATGTTATTTGAGGTCAAACTAATACAAACAGAACATTACAGTAGGACTTAGTGCACGTCTGTTAGATTGTTACTTTAGTCAAGTGTACCAGATAAACTAGCAACTTGAATAATGTGTGTTTTCCAAAAAGAGCAAGGCCATATGTCAGGTGTAGCTACCGGTGTCTGAGCTGGAGCAACTTTAGAACTGGGTTAAATTATTGTTCCATTTTTATTATCATGCAACAGAATAGTCTAAAGATGACTCTCTCTGAGCTGAGGGTCGTGGTGAACCATGGCCCAGTCAAGTCCTTTATAGGAGAGTGTAGTAAACACCGAGTTAAATCAGGAAACAGATGGAGAAAAATGAGGAAGACAAAATTCATGTCTCAGCCTTTTAACTTGTCAAACACTTTACATGGCTGCTTAGCAGACTGGTCTGACTGGCTCGGATGAATGCGGTGCGAGGGTGTGTTTGGGATCTTGAGCACAAACCTTTTCTAAATCATAATATCATGCAGCATAGCTTCAGGCAGTAGGTGTGTCTGGCTGTCAGCCCTCATGATGTTCAATATGGGAGAACAGAGGAGATTGTGCAACGTTGTCCAGCTGCTAATCCACACTCACTTTTTGCCTAATAATTTGTTAGATGCAATGCCCCGGGGCAGTACCGCAGTAGACGGCTAATCTGTGCTCTTTGGCAGGACACACGCCCTCCTTAGAATCAAAGACCATGAATTTAAAACCATCTTCGGGGCCCATGTTGCATTTCCTGTGATGAAACTGCAAGTCGAAACCAAAAATGCATGTTCATGAATATTCCTGCCTTTTGTTTCTTCAGGCAGCCACGTGCACCTGGAGCATACCCCTTTGCTGGTGTCACGCGTGTTTACGGTGCTTCTGGCTGAGTAACAGTCTGACAGCGCTTTAGCTTGACAGGGCTGAGATATCACAGATGACACGAGGGCACGGAAATGGTCTTTTATTTTATTAGGCTCCTCTGCCTTCCGACGTCTTTCCCGTAGTTTTACTAAGATCCAACCACATTTAAAGAGACTTCGAAAACACGTCTGCACTAAATCTGAACCAACTTTGCATGTCCTGTTGGTTCCTGTGCCCTTTTCTGTTGATCCCATTGAAATGCCCCCCCCCCCCCCTTCAACTGGCCCCAAACTGAATATCATTTCCCCATTTCACCTGTTTTACTGAACTCAACCTGCACAACACAAAGCAGGTCAGAGGAGCGGTCACTGAGCAGGGTTGGTCAGGGAACCCTGTCTCTTCATTTGTGGCCTGCTGCGGTGGAGTTATAGAGGGAAACACTTCTGGGAACTTGTGTGACTGACCAGCTCAGTTACCAGTCCGTTTCCAGACTTGGAGTAGCTCTGTGCAGGAGTCAGGACTACAGCGCTGCTTCGTTACGTTTTCCACATCTTCACAAAGTATCTTTGTCCATGTGACACATCTAAATCAGCACAGTGTTGTGGGCAGCGACAGAGAACATTAGCCACAGTCAGGTTGAGAATATCCCACGCGTTGTCCTTTCTTTCATGCCCAAGCTAAAACAGAAAGGAACAGATTCACATAGGTAACATGCAGTCCAGATTTATAAACTGGTTTTGACCCAAAACACACTGGACCTGAGCTGCTACTGTCAGTTATGACAAGTCTGAGTTAAGTGACGGTGACAGCTGCTTTTCACTGTCCAGATGGAGCCGTAATGATATTAGATTTTCTCTTACATGGTCTGTTTTGTTTCCCACAGAGGATCAATAAAGATTCATTTTATCCTGCAGAGTTGAGCCTTGATCATCATTTTGACTCATGTATATTTTCAGTCCATGAACAATGTGTCAAATATTGGTGTGAAAACAACGTGATGCTGTGATTTGCTGCATCCTACACAAAAATATCACCTGAATCTGCAGCTCCCTTCAGTTTTACTGAGCTTTGCATCACGTTTCAGCTTGTTGAACTTTACTGGTTTGGCTCGCTCTCACCGCTCGTACAGCGTCGGCTGGTTTCAGTGAGTAAAAAAAACCACTGTCCACTACCTGCTCAGCAACAGAAGGCAGAGAAAGTTAGCAGCTAGCTGGTGAAGATACGGTAGTGGAGCAGTCAGCACTTAAAGCACCAGTTCTCTCTCTCAGGAGGAGATGGAGATCAGACGGTGAATCCTGGACTTGTGTGTATCAGGTGACCAGAAACACGACTCCACGTGAATTGTAATGTTGCACCATAACTGCTGGATGTTTAAATATGAAACCTGCAAACCCAGTTGCCATATCAGCTGAGGTTGATGAAATGCCGATACTGTGTTTACATGTAGTTTGTGCCGCTTCCAAGGTTGAAATATGAGTGCGTCCTGTGAAGGCAGATAGCATGGTTTTCCCATCATAGTTATTGTCAGTTAAAGGTTTATTTGCTTCTGAGCCTGTTTTCCTTCCCTTTATTACCTTTCAGTGGCATTAAATTTATTACACTGACTTTACATCCATTCATCTTTATCAGTCACCCAGCAAACAGCTGCTGTCACCTGTTAGATTGGAGCCCGTGTGTGTACTGTGTTACACTGAGTGATGTAGCAGCAGTCAGATCATTTACAACATGACTGCACCAGCCAGATTAACAAACAACCTAAAGTAAAATCAATATCAGAGGGCTGTTAAAAAGCAAACAACCCACATATGCAGATAAAAATACAGAATATAAAGACTATTTTTCCTGTGGAGCAGTTTGGTCTGAACAAAGTGTCGCACTTCTCTGCAGTGAGTGATGAGCTTGCTCGAGAGGGGACTGGCCATGTGTGACACTTGGCATTCAGCAAAGTGCAGTAAAACCTCTAGGAAGCTTTGTTGAGCTGGAGCTGCTCTGTTTAGGTCGACAGGACACATTTCATGAGCACACGTCCATTTGGTCTGGCTGTGATTAGCAAGCGAGGACCACGTCTGGAGAGAGGTTTGTTGGTGCACAGATGTCTGTATGATGACGAAAAATAGTTTTTATGACTTGAATGGAAGCTGACTGAAATTTAGAAAGGCTTTTTAGATTCGTGTCTCATGCACTTTATAGTCTGATCCCACCATGACCTTTCTCTTGCTGTGTGTAAACAGACTTGGTGCTCATTCTGCAGGCTCAGCACTACTTCCCTTAGTGCTGAAATGATTTGTCAACATTCAGTCCCTTCTGCTACACCCGATAGTGCTGAAATGATTTGTCAACATTCACTGTTTCAGCTTCTTACATGTGCAAAGTTGCATGAGCGCAGTTTGAATATGTGACGTTTTTACTGTTTTTGACATATTAATCTAAATGATTAAGTAGTAGGTGGCGGTACATCATGCAGAAGCTATAAAAGCGTATAAGGAATGGGTGCAAGTAGGTAGACCAGGGCTGGAATTGAACTGGAGAATAAAAAGATCACTGGGGCAAGGTATAAATATGCTGTTGGCTATATCACTAAATGTGAACAGAATATGAGAGTGGATGCTATGGCTGAAAAATTGATCTGTGGAGAGAACACTATTCTGCATTGTTTAATTGTGTTAAAAGTGATCCCTATGTAGTGGGAAGCATTGCTAGTGAGGATGCTGTGGTGATCACTTCTAGTGAGGTGCATCGAGCAATAATGCACTTGTCTGATGATAAGGCAGCTGGTGCGGATAATATTACAGCGGAACATCTGAAGCATGCAAGCCCAAAGATTGCTGTGTTGCTTGCTTTGTGCTTCTCTGGGTTCATGACTCATGGTTTGCTACCTGATTCTTTATTGTCTGTTACCTTAGTGCCTGTTATGAAGGACAAAGCTGGCAAAGTTGGGAGTCTGGATAACTATAGGCCAATAGCTTTGGCCAGTGTTATATCTAAAGTTCTTGAGAAGATATTGCTTGATCGTCTGTGTCATTGTATAACAACCACACATAATCAGTTTGGTTTTAAATCCAAGCTGGGGACAGATCTGTGTGGCCTTTTCAGCCTGTGTTGAAAACAGGAAGTGTAAGATTAAGGTTATTTGGGTCATTACTTATAGACAGTGATGTAGTCGCAATGGAAAAGTACACGTGAACCGTCGAGGTTGTTGGGTTCATTTTCAGTGGGCATCTGTAGTGTGCAGTAATTTCTTATTTTAAAGAACCAAGTCTGTCTCCTCTCTACTGTCTGTCCCAGTCTGACACAGTCCTTGGTTTGCAAATTCATTTAATCCTTTGAGGGCCTGTTCCCCAAAGATGGCAGGGCAGCTGTCACACGTTGCATTATTGCTTTGTATACCAATATTTGCTTCTGTTTGACGATGTTTAACTCTCCACCAGTTAGCAGTGGTTCTAACCCTGTGGTGTCCCTCTAAATAAACAGCCAGTTATTATTAACAATGAATCAGGGTGATTAGAGGGACATCCAGTGTTGGTCTGTGCTTTGAGACTAGGAGGATTTGGACTCTTTTCACTCTTACAGTTGACTTTGTCTTTGAAGGATCCATCTATGATTTGGGCTCTTCTTTCCTGTCTTGTGTATACAT